CAATTATTAAATTGTTCTTATCTCAACCCTTGCACTTTCTTACTTTTGCTCTTCTGATTCTCTCCCCCATCCCGCCGGGGGGCAGGGTGAGCGAGTGGCTGTGTGGTGCTTGGTTGCCGACTGGGGTTAAACCACAACAGACACCCAGAGGGCCATCTAACGGAGAGGGAACTGCCCTCCCACATCTCTCCAGCCCCGCAGTGTACACGCTGGATGCTGGCAGACACCCCCTGGACTTCTGACCGTACAGGAATCTTCACACGCCCACTCCCAGTAAAGAGTTCCTGTTGTGCAGGCACACACAAGGGCACCTAGATCATTACATGTACCTCTTGCTGAGGAGACAGAAGAAACAAACTGATGCAAATCAGTAAAAAACCCCACAAACTAAAGATGGTGACCATCTTAATGTACATCTTCTCCTACTTTGTGAAATCTCAGGCTCCTTCTCACTAACCCTCAAGTGGGTAGAAAAATAATTGCGAGAGTCCAACTCTACCTTAAAACATCAGCAAAAGACAAGATTTGCACAGTATTTGCATCTTAGTCTTATCTTTATTATAGCTCTATTTAAAGGAATTATTCTGTACACTACCCGCCTGTAGGCAGGATTGCAAAAAATTAGAGTTCGGTCCAAAACTCCATAGTATCAGACAATCCACAAAATTAGTGCTGTCATTTAAAAAATGAATGAAAAATCAAAAGAAGAGTAAAAACCATTTATTTTTGAGCAAATATCCTATACAATTGTGGCTTGACTACCATTAAACTGCTAACAAAATAATAGCAAAGAATCTGATAAAATATATTCCTGACAATCTTTCAAGTCCTGCATTACATTTGGAATGGTTTCAAATATAGAAGAAGGTCCAAGCCTCACCTATAATGAGCTTATTCAGTTTGCATCTTGTACAACTTTTACAGTTTATAACTGGATAAGTGTTGATGCATAAAGCTGTAATTCGCCAGTGTTGATCACAATTTATATTAAAATAAATAAGCAAATATACTGAGATGATACAAGCTGAGCATACAGAATTCATCCTAATTACACTTGATCAGAGGAATTCAAGTAAACAGTCACACTTTGAAATTTCTAAAAGAAAAGCAATCTAGAAGTAACACTCACCACCTTGTCTGAGCAATTTTCTCCTGGTATTAGCATTACTACTATAAACCCATTGGCTGAAGTTACAAAATAAGATGCTTAAAGGTAAATAATAAAACTAGTAGGTAAAAAAATGGTTCTTCATCATCTAAAACATAATAAGCTGGATCTTCAGCTTTCAGATGTGTCACCAAAGCAGGGATTCTTCATACTTTAATCTTCAAAAGTTAAGCACTAGGTTAGTTGGTTGTTCCCCGCCTGTTCAATGCAGATTCAGCTTAACCAAGATACTGATTTCAGAAGGATCCACCTATCCAAGACACCTGTTTCTGTTCCATTTATGACAGCTGTGTATTTTTTTTCCCCAGCAGGAGGGAAAGAATATAGAATGCCATCTAAAACCAGTCAGTGAATTTTTACGTGGCTCAAATTGTGTTTGATGGATTGAGTCGGAGCCGTGAAGATTTCTAGGTGTCTCTATCATAAGGGGAGTTATGGCTCTAGCTGTGTCATTTTGTCCTGTTGGGGTACAATTAATGTCCCACAAAACCAACAGAACTGCTCTTGCTGTGTTTGGTCAGCACAAAAAAATCAAACCATCCTATTGGATACCTATAGCCAGCAGTCATGTTGTCTCCAGCCAAGGATTTGAATTGTAATTTACACCAAATATGTAACATCCAGGTAGCATTTGATCCATCCTCTTTAACTTCCCATATGCAAAAGGAAGGCTTGTACTGCATACACCGGCACACTAGTAAACATCAAAATAAGTTTGTGTATTTCAAGGCTGCTGGTCTCTCCACTTACAAGATGAGGACTCGGTATATCTCATTGCTGGCGTTAACAATGTCGTCACAGTTTTCACACACCAAGCCCACTCTTGCAGGAGTCTTCACAGCGAAGTCAAGAAGAAAAGGATCTCCAAAAGCACCGAAGTGCTTGGTCTGCCCCTCCGACGCAGGGGCGACGTGGCGGTAGCCCCGCAGGGGAGGCGGTGGGTACGCTGCTGCTCCCGGGTGATGCAGATGCACCGTGGTTCAGCGCTGGAGAGGGGACAGAGCGGCAGGCAGAGGAGCCAGAGCTTCAGCATCTTTGCTGCCGCATGTATCGGGCAGCCGACCTTCCCAGGGGAGTGCCCAAGAGTATTTTCATTGTTTATTTTATGACCCCACATTAGAGGTGTTGTTATTATTACACTCCCCTGGAAAATGCTATGAATGAGGTAGCACCTCCCCAAGAAAAAATAATTATCTCAGTCTTAAGATCATCTCTTTTCTGGGGTGGGGAAAGGGGATAGAAGTTCTTGTTTTTCTGATGCATGCTGAGAAATGCTTAGGAAATATCACCTAATTTTCAGGGCAGAAAGGGGGAACACTCAATGCCTGCCACTGATAGCCTTCTAGCCTTATTAAAAATAATATGCTACAAGTAGCACTGAAGTGTGGCTCCCTTATGTCTCAAAGCATCAGGAATAAGTGATTTTACCGGATGATTAAAAACTTTTCCCCCACTATTATTGCACTGTAGGGAGCTGCCATCAGCAGTGACCTACTTGATGTCATGGCAGAAAGGCGTGTTTCAGATGCTGGCCTAGATGCAGATGATTGTTGGTTGGTGCTCATCTATCTGCAGTATGATATACTTAGAAAATAAATAACGTCTGCCAGAGGGCCTCTCTTGCTTTGCAACTAGGTTCAGTTGGGTTCCCTTTCCTTATCTGTACAGTGGTGTGGGTACAGCCCTCACAGATGACAGCACATGAGCCCTGCTTACGGAGAAAGTGTTGCTATCCTTAATATATACGTGAAGTGCAGTTAGTGCTGGGCGTTTTCTTCATAAGGGCCTGTCAACCACGAGTCCTCTGAAACTGTGCCAGGATACAGAGAATCAAGAGATCTATTTTAAAATGCTATGCTCATTTTCTACACTTTCTAGCGGGCTCTTGAGTCACATTTTCAAGCTTCACTATGCACCGATGCAGAATTGTTCCTTTCCAAATGATGCCAGGGGTGGTGGCAGTGAGGACTGAGCGAGTTGGTCAGTCCTGTGCTTTTGGACCCAGGGCTTTACTAGGGACCAGCAACTATCATAAATTAACATTGCAGGCATTGGCAACACTACTGAGGAGAAGAGTCTTTCCTCAATGAACCTTGCTGTGTTATTAAAGGCATCATTTTGAACATGAAAGGCTTAAACGTGGAGAAGGAAATGTTTCAGCTCGTCCGGGAGGAGAAGTCCAGTTATTTTTTGATGCTGGTTGTGTCCAAAGCACCTCCTGATGCACAGGCGGCACAACTGCATCAAGGACAGCGGCCCTGGAGAAAGAGCCGGGGAAGAGGTTACACATGTGGCTTTATCGCCCCCAAATTGTAAAGCTGAAACGGCAGCTGTGCATTACCACTCCCCCCAACTCCTGCAACCCACCTCGCGCAGGGGGTGTGCGGCCACCCCAGGACGCTCAGCAGTGAAAAGCCAGACCTGTGCCCACCAAAGAACATCAGGCCGCCTGCGATTCTATTCAAGCCTCGTCACTCTCTGCCATTACACAGCCGCAATTAGCATTAGCAGCGTCAGTCTTTTAAGCTGCACAAGTGTGAAGTGCTTTGTGTTGTCTGAGAAGAAGAGCTGATCAATGCTTCCTTCAAAGTGCTTTCCCCCCCAACTCCCCCAGTGAGATCCAAGTTTGCAGCCCACTGCTTTCTTGAGACTTATTTCATAATGGTGACAAAAACATAGCAAAAGAAATACTACATAATCCTTTATTTAAACCTTCCAGATTAACCGGTCCCATGCTGATAAACACAAGCCCTGCTGAAGAATCTGAAGAGGTAGATCCTGTGTGATGCTTTTAACTGTGGCACCTTTCAACGTTCAGACCCCCAACTTGTCACTTGCACCCCGGTGTGCAGCACGCAGGAGTGACAAGCGCGGTGGGTCACGGGGGGGCTGTGGGAGGGCAGATAAGAAGGGCAAAGCAGGGGCAGCAGCAAGTGTGGACATGGGGCTTGGGTGCTGGGAGTGGGGAGGAGGTAAGAAGAAACACTGTAGAAAGCGAGAGGGAGGGAAGTGAGCTGGGAGGGGACAGTTTAGGTGCCACCCGCTGTGCCTGCCTGCTGGGTGGGTAAGTTAGTGGGCACCAGAGAGCCAAAGTGTTAGTGCTGGTGGAGGAGCGAAGTGCAGCAGGAAGGAACGGGGGCCGCAGCAAAAATGCGGTGAGCTTTAAACAGCTTTTGAGTCTTCCCTCGCACAGACCACCACGTTTCCAGTAGCTCTGCAAGGCTGAAAACTGCTGCACTATTTGAAGCGCTGTGCAAAGGGCTGCACCCTCCTGCTAGGAGTCAGTGGATGATTTACCCTGTGCTTGGGTACAAGACAACAAGGCAAGATGATATGGGGCAAGTGAGACTGGTTATTGCAGTATCACACTGCACGCGTGTATGGCCACTGATCCTACAGATAAATGCCCTGCCTGTAAACATCTCATTTAAAAAAACCTCCGTTCAAAAAAAAACTAAAGACTTATCAAAACACAAGCAGTGTCACTACACTGAAAAATATTTAGCAAGTGCAAGCATACTTTAAAAAAAAAAAAAGTGCATTTTTGGATCATTAGCTAATTCTCCCACCCACACATTAGGACTCTCTCTGCGATGCAAGCAGGGTGGGCAGTGGTCTGGCAGCATGGTCAAGTCCTGGGAAGGGAGACCACCATGGGTACCACACTTGCTCTACGCTAGTCGTAGGGCGACTCTGGGTCGGCACGCTCACCAACTCATCTCTGGTGGAAAAACACGCTCCCTCCAGCCTGCCCCAGCCATGGGCGCAGGGCTGCTGCCCCCCAGCATCTGTGGCGTTGGGGGAGAGGAACCTTGTGGGAGCAGGGCAGGAGAGCAGCAGCTCAGCCCTGCTGGTGCTGGGGGGCTGTGGGGCTGGCAGGGTGACTCTGATCCCCACAGCACATGGCCAAACCTCCCTGTGAAACCACGTTTGCACCTCTCCCCCAGGTTGCAACTGTTCAGCCAGCCAAAGAAGTTGGACATCAGCTGCCCATCAGACATGACCCTACTCAGAGAAGGGCATGCTGGAGCACATCAGAAAAAAACTATTCAGGAGAAAAATGCCCTTCAGGCATTTATCATTTCTCATTTCGATTGCTGAATTTCACTTAGAAAAGTTCCTTACTGCCCAAGCTGTCAGCTGAGCCCAAGCAGCGCTTCTTGGGCCGGCTCCACAGGGTGCGCCTGAAATGTTTTTTTAGCTCAAATAAACAGGACAGACGCGGTGCCACAGGAGTCAGGACCGTAACGCAGCAGGGATTGGAGCTCGAAATTATCACCGCTCTGTGCACCATAGATTAGGCCGGGAAACCAAATATCCGTTGCTCATACATAACATGCACAGCACAGTTGTTTTCACGCTATTATTTTCGTGTTACTATTTCAAGTAGGGCCTGATTCATCACTTTACTACTCCAGTTTTACCTTGGTGTAAATCTGTTCATGACAACAATCACATCGACAGGTAACTGGAATAATAAAGTCATGTACCACACCACACCAACTTGTTTAAAATAATGAAAATTATTTAGTAATGTGCATAGTTTTCTGACAGAAAGAGAACTTCTGAAGAAGAACACAAGTACACCAATGATTAAACATGAGAGACCTTATTCTAATTTTCCTGAAGATTGGTAAGTAGGAGTTCTCTCCATAATTCATTGAAGTATTCGTAACGAATAAAATAAAATGGATCTGGAAATATTTCATTTACAGGTACAAAATAAGTGCTTCCTAAGGGTTAAGCTTACAGTTTGATACTGCTGGATTATGCAGCACATAATGTTGGCCTTTAAAAAAAGCCTAATTGATAAATGTATGTAAATATATATATATATTCATTATATCATTCTTGTGCAATTTTCCTTAATCCCCACAAAAAACCTAATATAGAGTCTTTCATTTTAAAGATGCTTTTGCACCTACATAAGATCTTGGCCAAACAATAAAAGTAAAGGACAAAGAACTAGAAGATCAGTGTTTCAACATACTTTTTTTTTTTCCAGTATCACATACATTAAAAATTTTCTGGTTGCAATTTTGCATTTATGCTGAGACCAGTATCTGGCATCTACCTGACCATCAGCATACTGATTAATCAAAGATCCCAGTCCTAGAGCTCACCAGCTAGCCTCAACTCCCATCAGAGGTCATTTTCTGCCTGCGTTTGTTGGCACACTCCAGATAACACCCCTGGGTCTACTCCCATCTCAGAAACAGGGGAACTGAGAGTATCCCACTGACATCAGTGCTTTAGGTAATCAGGAAAATGCCACCATTAATTTTGAAGGAGCATTTTGCTTGTTTTTTCACCCTAAACTCTATTTTGCATTATATTGCAAGCTCCATACGATTGTTCCCCGATGTGGTAGGTTCACAACCTGGAGGTTGACAGATGGGTTATTGTTGTTACCTTTATCCCTATTAGTGTGCCACTATATTCTGACACTAGAAAACATAATGTCCATATGTCAGCGAATGGAGGTAAGCTTAGTTATCCTCAGTTTTGTAGCACTTGTAGCATGGAATAGCATAGCCTTTTGCAGCAGTTTGTGTGGTTTTTCCCTAACGAATCCCGAGTGAAGGAATAAAACAAGTGCTAAGCGGCACCTTCTTTCTGCAGGAAGAGTCGGCCCACAGGGCTGCCGGGTGGAACCAGCTCCATTGGCCTCTTGCTTTCTGCGTTCTTCACCCAAATGTCCGCTCCAAAGTCAATCAGCAGCGTCACCAGCTCCGCACTGCAAGTCCTGGCGGCTGCATGCAGAGGGGAGTCCAGGCCCTTGCCGCTGTTCACATTTGCTCCTGAACAGCAAGAGACGACAAAGAACAATGACAAAGAATAATGACTATACAGTAGCCTATTGCCATTTCCTGCACTAGCTGCTATTTCTCTGAATAATCCGTAAATGCTGTAGCCTCTACCCAGAGGTGGATTTCCTTACGCTGGGGCTCGGCACTACAATTTGCACATGCATAACACACTGGTTGTGGAGGAGTGGGGTTATGACTAAGAAAATGATCCCAGGAACGGTGCATGAGGAAGTCCTTCATCCACAGCCCAGTCCATGGATATCTTGAAGCAGGACACAGATGTAGTTCCACCTGCGACCCACCTTTGTTCCCCATCCCAGTGCCCTATTCCCTTAAAATACATGCAGGTTTCAACTGGAGGCTTAAACCGGGGTTTCCAAATGCCAAAGTATCTGTTGGGGAAAAAATGAGAGGATGGAAAAGTTCTAGAGGCCCTTGGTAGAGGAGGATATAAGCAAGCACCCCTGACGAGTGTTCCCCCATCCATTATCTTGGGCTAATGCCTCCTAAAACACCCTAAGAAGGGTGAGCTGCAGAACTATTTCAAAAATATTTATAATGTTTTTATAGTACACATTCTCATATATAGAATGCAGCAAAAAACAAAATGGCAGAAAACAGAAAATAATAGCCAAACATTTAATATTTAGATTAATTTGTGTTTGACTTCTTCCAAAAAAAGATCACTATGCTAAATAATAGTGCATAAGGTGATCTACATGTTCTTTGCTTCTTTTTTTCCAAAGTGGCTTTGTTGGTCCATTGTTTTTGTACTTGCTATGTGGCTACTTTAGGTTATATAGCCTCTTTTGTTAGAAGAGATGCACTACTGTAGATAACAAGAAATGGCCTTGTATAATTATGCAAGTGCTTAGACTTATAGCTAGGTTTGTTTGATGCAAAGTCTATAGTGCTGAATGTTTTGCTGTGTTGGAAATGTTTCAAGCTTTTTATGAACTCAGTGGGAATTAAAACATGTTTGCAGAAATACTATGTAAAAATGATTGAGTCAATCGTTTTGGGGAAAGAGGGAGGAAAAGAAAAAAAGGGAATTTTTTCCTGCCCACTTCAGATAACTGCAGCATCACACAGACAGACACTGGAAAGGATGGTGTTTGTTGCAGGCACCACCGGCCATGTGAAACCCAGGATCACCCATCAGTTTTGTTGGGAGCTGTAAAGCTGAATTCCTGTGTCAAGAAGACCCTGGTTACCCTGCTACCGCATTTAACCCAGGGCTGTCATTAAGAGCAAAACATCTCCAGGTCCGAGAGCAGGAGCTCCTCTAAACCTTTGATGTAAAGAGAATCCAAAGATAGACATTGCAGGAAAAAAAAGTACACCACCCTTTATTTTGATTTTTACCTGACTCAAGCAGCTTCTTGGCACAATTCACTTGCTGGTTCTCACAAGCTACATAAAGCGGAGTACCCAGATGCTTGATGTTGTGATCGATATTTACCCCATGGGACGTGAGGAATTCAACACATTGCACATGACCTTAAAAGGGATAAAGGAAGAGTCAACTCACAGGCATTTTTTCAGCAAATTCTCTATTGCAGCGGTGTAATTTGGCAAGGATTCAATGTTTTGTCAAAAGGTCGTACTTTCGTCCACTCCGGTGTTTCCCACCTAGAAAACAGGAGCTGCAAAGCCACTGTTAGCAAAACAGGCTAAAGCCTTCACATTTTATCTGACTCATTTCAGATGTCTACCGAATCATAGAATCATAGAATCATAGA